GGCAGTGTACCCCAACCCCCAGATCAGTGGCATCACAGGCAGCAGTGCAGGGCTAGGTGAAGGGGACAGGGTAAGCATGGGGGCTTATGCTGGGGGGCTCTGGAGGCTGAGCTAGTAGTAGGGGAGCCTATGGGGGTAGGGATGGCACTGGAGTGGGGGCTCTGGTGATGGGGCAAATATTGCAGGTTGGCACTGGGGAAGGCTCAGGAGGGGATGGGTACAGTGGTGCTCTAGAAGCAGGAGGCTGATACTGGGGGGCCTGGTGGTGGTGGTCTCTAAGGGGCAGGAGGTTGGCACCAAGGTGTTTGGGATGGGGGACTGGCACTGAAGGGGGGCTCTGAGGATGGGATGCTGGCACTGGGGTGCAGGATGCAGAGAACTGGGGTCAGTAGTTGGCGCTGGGGAAGTTGTGGAGGGGTGGGAGGCTCTAGGGGTTCGGGCTGGCACTGGGGGCTCTGGGGACTTTTCTGGCAGACCGGTAAGGTTTTAGTTGCATATGTATAATTTGCATAATGCATACTGAAATATGCAAATAAACTGTTACCAGTCTTCCAAAAGTTTGTGAATGGGGTTGCTAGTCCCCGGTATCAAAACAATTGGGAACAACTGAACTATAGCCTCAATCCTGCACTGGAGCTACACAAGTGGAATCGTGCACTTCTGCAGAGCCCTGGTAGTACAGCTTGTCAGAAATTTTTTGATTAAATGCTTTTTCACTGGAAAATGTTGATTCATCCAAATGGATTTTTTCGCGAGAAGGGGGTCAGTTTTACCGATATTTCATTAAGATTTCTCAAATTCTGGGTGGGTGTGACTGGGACTCTCACCCAGGGCATGGAAGATCTCGGTTCAAATCCCTACTCTGCCTAATTCACACCCTGAACTTGGACTTATATCCAAGACATCCCAGTTGACTTCCCCAACTGCCAAGTTGTTGGCTGCTGACTTTCTGTAGGAGGATGACATGTCAAAAGATCTGTGTCATCCTAATGTGCAATGGGAAATATTTGAAATCTCAAAACAGCTTTCCATCCAAACCCATTAACACCACAGAAGCATAGTGATTTACAACTACATAATCAGGGCCTATCCTGTGTCTTGTGACCACTTAGCTCACCTACATGATAGACTGTGGTAGATTTTTTTAAAAGTGCACAGCAGCACTACATAATATCCTAGGGCAGAAAATAAAAACAAATACTTTCCCCAGCCAAGACTCAGTTGGCATGGTTCTCAGATTCAGCTTTAATAATCACCTGAGAATAAATTTCCAAGTGCAGTTCTCCCATTCCAGAAACGATTGTCTCTCTGCTCTCAGTGTCAAAGTGGACTCTGAAGGTAGGATCTTCTCTAGTAAACCGGTTCAGGCCTTTTGAAAATTTATCTAAGTCATTCTAAAAAAAATTACACACATGCAAAATAAATTAACAACTTTATTCAACATTCTGTAAATACCAGATCATACAAAGGCCTGAAAAGTTCATACTAATCAGTTAGCATCATTCCCTCTGAATCAGAGGTACATGGATTTGCCATCCCAAAATTCATAATAAGGTTCGCTCCCCAAATTCTTGCATTATTTTCTGCATATGCAACACCACAAACCCAAAATGCTCCTTAAGTAGGAAAAGAGGTCATGATTAGACCAGGAGTAGCTAATCCTGAAGTGACCGTATTACCTATGTTGAATACGGGACATCTGGTAAAATTACTCATATTCAAGTGAGTTCAAGGGTAATCAATCAGAACTATACAGTACAAACGTTCAAATTAACATCAAGTTGTCCGAGCCCCTTGTACTAAGATGAAGGCTTAAAATATAACCCCATGTAGCACAGGCCTGGTTTGAGGCCTAGCTAACAATGGACAAAACAAGGCTAACATAAAGCAAAGCTAAGCTGTGAGCAAGAGGCAGGCCCTTGCTCACAGCACTTGGCACCAATGGGGCTCAGTGCACAAAACGCTAATTGGTAATAGGCCCAGATGTAAAACATTAAATAGTATTGGTCATAAGTTGAAAGTAGGGATGCTAGGTGTTCCGTTTTGAACTGGACAGTTCAGTATTTGAGCTTTCTGTTCAGGAAACAAATTGAGAAAATATAAATGAGAAAATATAAATATCTGGTATTTTCTAAATAAGATGTAATGTAGATTGTGATGTAATGTCAAGCGTGTCCGGTATTTTTGTTGAAACCATCTGGCAACCCTAGTTTGAAAGCAAATGGTACCAGCAGCTCATTAAAAAAAAGCCTTGGGACACACTACCCACAGATACAGACCCAGGTTCAGAAAGGGGTCTAAAATAACAACATGAAGGATAGAGATGATTTAATCAAATCACAAGGTACAGGGTGATATCTAAGCAGCATCAGAGGATGGTAACCTGACTACCTCAGAGGGTGGCAACCTGACATATCAGCAGTAACGTGTAAATTGTTTGTACCTGTATATAAAGTGGCATCTTGGAGGGAGAGTCTTTAGACGACCTAGGGAGCAGTGGAAATTTCCCACCAGATGAGTGCTAATGCTGTAAAAAAACAAATAAACTTTAACCTTGAAATTTTTCTAAAACAGGAACAAATGTTAAGTACATTGACCATAGACTCTTGAGACCTGCTGTGAAGACTAACTGCATCAGTCAATACAGCACACGTCGTTGAGTACACATGCAAGCAGCCTTCTGATTATCATCATCAACTAAGCCAGAAACCTATGAGGACACCTCACCAGTAAATCCTGACTTACCACACCCCTGTTAAAAAGAAATACTGCAGAGCTGGAGTCTTTTCATTTACCTTTTATTTTTTTATTTACCTTAGAGAAGCTGGGCCGCTTTGCTCCTAGCCACCATGGTGAACGCAGGAGGAGGGAAGCAACCCCTTCTGCCACCCAGTCCCCACCAATCCCAGTGGTGGGGTGGAGGGTAGCAGAAGCAGGGCAGGCAGGTTCCAGGCCCTGCACCTGGGGTACCGGGGGGAGCAGCAGAGGAGATTGCCCCAGGCTCCATGCCTCTCAAGAGACAGCCCTGGGAAGGGGTTAAGCCCTAAGGACGCACTGAGCACCAACGCCCAGGAAACCTGGCTGCAGGGGCTTTAGCGAACCTAGCCAAAGAGGAGGCTCAGCAGTAAGGATGTTACGTATTGACTAAATGACTAATCGTGTAGTCGATACAATTTGTACTGAGTACACAATTAGTCAAGGAAGGGCCACTGTAGCTCTGCAGTTTAAATGTAGTAGGAGCCAGGCACGCAAGCAGCCCGGCTCCTACTACAGTAAACTTCCGATAATCCGACACCTTTAGAACCCAGGGGGTGCCGGATTATCAGATATGCCGGACTATCAGAAGAGGGGGCTATGAGGGGTCTGGAGTGTGGTGGGAGGGGATGCCACCCCAGACCCCTCATAGCCCCCCCTTACGATAATCTGGCTCTGCCCCAGGCGTCCCTGATTCAGCTGCTGCTGGTCTGTTTCAGCAGCAGCTGAATCGGGGATGCCTGCAATAGAGCAGCTGGGGTGCTGCCGGGTTGGTCCCGCAGCCCCAAGGGGCAGCACTATGAGACCAACCCGGCCGAACCCCAGCTGCTCTGTCCCAGGCGTCCCCAAGTCAGCCGCTGCTGAAACAGATCAGCGGCTGATTCCAGGAAGCCCGGGGCAGAGCTGCTCTGCCCCGGGCTTCCT